GATATGGCGATGCGCATCACATCGAGCAATATCGTGTATCGGCTGATATCGATATATAGATTTCGATTCACGAATCGGTACGATATGGCGATGCGCATCACATCGAGCAATATCGTGTATCGGCTGATATCGAAATATAGATTTCGATTCACGAATCGGTACGATATGGCGATGCGCATCACATCGAGCAATATCGTGTATCGGCTGATATCGATATATAGATTTCGTGCGGGGCGATATCGGGTTCAACAATATTGTTGCGATATATAGATATTGAATCTATATACGATTTATATCACCCACTCCTAATGTCGACACATTTTGAGTGCCAATTAATTAAATCTAATTAAGTGTTCAGGTATTCAGTTTCAGTTGAATATTTCCATAGTATTTCTCCCTCTATAGGTTAGTCAATTTTGCGGGGTTTTTAGTAAATAGGTGCATATTTTGTGAATTAATTGTACAGTATACATCATACTTTCCATATTTGCATAGATGTGTTTTTTGCTTAGATGGGTGAACGAGCTTATGGCCCACATAGTGTTAAGTGGTCAGTGGAAATTAAAGAAAAAGTACATACAACCGTCACCCACCTTTAGACATTAGTGCCAAAACTCAGTTTTACAGTACAAGGCTGCTCCATCTTTCAAATCGAAACGCATTAATGCTTCACGGTAGAAATAGGCAGGGTGGTGCCTAACCGTGCGGGCTTAGAGCACGCCCTACGGTTTTACAAAAAAAAAAGGAAACCAATTTATTTTACTCACTACTTCCTGCATAATCTCGTCTTTACTTTTCTTAATGAGAGGGGAAGGGACATCTCGAATCTTTTCATTTTCCTCACGACGAATCTCACCACGTTCTTCCTTAATTGGAGTCGACGCTGAAGGTTCCTCCTTGGTGTCTGGTTCCATTTCTTCCGTTTCCGAATCGGACTCCTATAATATGTAGTATTAGTAAAATTATCAAATATGGAAACTTGGAACACATTACCACCAGAATTCAGGATAGGAATTGAGAAGTTAGATAGGAAACCAAACTACAGGTATGGGAGCATAATAAAAAAAGACTTCTAGTAATTTGAGAGGGTCAGACTTGCATTATCATTTCCAACAATTTATTGAAGAAGCCGAATGAATATACTATAGACAAAAATATCTTAAGGCTTAACACGACTTGAATACTTCGAATGAAAAAGATTGTTTAAATGCATCTGGCGAAAATTCGAATCCAAAGTAAATGGCAGACTTGTGTTTTCATTACTCATTTTATGCTGAAATGATCTGGAGTAAAAGCCCCAATACCAGAACATGCTATATGTTTATTCATGTACTAGCGACTCGCCCTCGCTTCGCTTCGGAAACATTAAAACACACATGAAACCAAAAAAATAAAATAAAAAAAAATTTAAAAAAAGTAGCCTATGTTCATCAGGGACAATGTCGGCTTCTAATGGAAAAAGAGTTTTTCAAATCGGTCCAGTAGTTTCGGAGCCTATTCGAAACAAACAAACAAACAAATCTTTCCTCTTTATAATATTAGTATAGATAGATAATATATAACTGAATGTTTTGTAGTATATTGTTGTAAAGGATACACAGCCTCCTGAAAGAGTTACTTATTTCACACAATTGATTAATTCTGTAATTGATATTAGCAAGATCTGTCATTTAGTCTGGAGCTCATGATGTGTCATGATACAACAAACCAGAGGTTGTAGGATTGCTTCAAATCTCACTGTACTTTTTAAGTTGAAATAAATTGTTAGTTGTGTAGTTAATGCTAAAAGATATTTAAGAATATAAAATTACAATATTATATTGCAGACATGCACACACTCATTCTTTCTTCTTTATATCTACAAGTTATAGGTTTCGAAAAATAAATTAACTTACGAATTTGCTTTTAGGTGGAGGTACAGGTTGTCCACTAGCAGCTGCCTTCATTCGCTCCAACTCTTCTTCTTCTAACCGTTTTTTCTCTTTTTCTGCTTCTTCTCTTGCTTTCTTTTCCTGTTCTCGTTCTATTGCCCTCTGTTTTTCCCTTTCCATTTTTTCTAAACCTGTATTTAGAAGAAAAAAAATATTATTTTATTACGTAGACTGGTGAACCAGCTCATGGCTCAACTAGTGAAAAATTGTTACTGGAGTCCCAGACATCACCACGTGAATGCTGCCACGCACCTAGGACAGGAAGTCTCAATTGTTTAGCATAATGCATTATACAATCATTTTGCAGCAGAAACTCAATATGTGTCATCTCACCTCTACCACTGGTGTAATACCGTAGCGGTAGCTATCATAAAAAAGAAAATATTTGACAGAGATCTGAATCGTGGTAATAGAATTTACAACATATATTTGACTTTACTTCAAAACAATAAAATTTTGAACACCCCTCTTTCCTGATGATCCTAAAGTAATTCTTCACCTACAGAACTGTTGATCTGCTGAGCAATTTCGTGTCCTTAGGGGAATATCTTCACTTTGTCAATTCTGTCAACCTACATATATACACTACCTATTATCAAATTAAACTGAAGATAAATGCTTTTCTTTACGAAAGAAAATACAGGATAAAAAAAGGAAGAGTGCTTTAACTCAATCAATAACTTAATGACTTTTACCCTTACCTTCTAATATGGGCAGTAATACATCACAGAATTACTAAACACAAACAATGGAAAATGTCCATCGCATTGCTGGAAGTTTGACTAAAATCTAAGTGTTGAATATATTTTTCTTTTAAAGTACTTCTAAAGTAAATAAATTTAATAAAAGAAAATCAAACAACAAATCTAAGGGACAGTTAATCTTAGTAACATCTCTAAATTGCATCTTATTTGAGGACTTACAAGGATGGCATGAAAACCATCAGGCTATAAGTACTTGAGGTTGTAGTCATCATTTCAGATTAATTGAATAAAAATTCAGGAATGGGGCAATCATTTTATTTGGTCTTTGGGATGGTGCAATGACTACATAATATCAGCCGGGCTGAGTTCCGACTTCCCATATTTGGTTTTTTTTTTCCTACCTAAGCTGATAACCTTCAGAGGCTATTTCAGCGGAACTTCAACTAGTATGTGAGCTCACGGGGCTCAAACCTGGCAACCTTGCTAACACGAACCATAGCAAGAGCCGAGATTTGCAGAATCTACCACCGGATCGGAAACGCGACCCACTGAGAAGATCCGGCGAGAAACTCAGTGGGCTGTGTCTGAGGGTTAATTTACTCGTCGAACCCGAAAGGCTGAACGGTGACCGGTGCTTGAGGTACCTAAAAGCACCGTTAGTGGATCGGGAGGATCCGATATGCAATATTTGCAATATATCTCTGCATCTATTAAATCTATTTCTATTATTCACATTAGGTATTAGTATTTTGCTAGGTATTTTCTATGACTATTATTCAAGAATTACCAATTTACCTTCTCTTATCCAAGCTGGAAGTTGTCTTCTTTTTGCAGCATCAATCGTCGGCATGCCAATGCCAGGCATAGCTGGTGGAATANAGGATCCGATATGCAATATTTGCAATATATCTCTGCATCTATTAAATCTATTTCTATTATTCACATTAGGTATTAGTATTTTGCTAGGTATTTTCTATGACTATTATTCAAGAATTACCAATTTACCTTCTCTTATCCAAGCTGGAAGTTGTCTTCTTTTTGCAGCATCAATCGTCGGCATGCCAATGCCAGGCATAGCTGGTGGAATAACTGGATTTATTCCTGGTTTATCTCTGAAAGTTATATTTTCAACTGAGATTTTAATATATACTTTACCCAATGTTTATAGAGGTAGCAAATAAATGGTTTGTATACATTTTCTAAATCATTCTTTCTACTCAAATGATTTTGTTTGCTAATAAGCCACCGGAATGTAACAAATTACTTTAACTGCCTTTGCTTGATATCATAATGGACACAAATCATTAACTTTGAGACATAAGGTATTGCCAGTTCTAGAAATGGTATATCTTAAATGATTTTCTTTTCATAAGAAAATAATTTAGCTGTAATACCACTGAGTCTTATCACCATTAAATAATAGTTCATATAAGTTTCAGTATTGGAATAAGAAAAAATAAGAAAAGAAGACTTTTATTTCTTTTTTTCTTTTCTTCTTTATATTTGAAATAAGTATGTAACCTACTATTTGCATGGAATAAAAGGCTTATTTTTATTATTATTATTGGAATAAGAGTGTTCACCTTTGTGGCCTTGGAATTCTGGTTTTATTGTGTTCTTTATTCTTGCTTTTTGACCTTCTATCTCTATTTTGACTATTACTTCTATTTGATGTTTGTTGATCAGCTTGTGGAGCTGTCCAGTACCCATGTTGAAATGTAGGTCCACTCCCTGCTGCAGTTGTATAGCTGTGGAAGTATTAATGAAACTTATGAGTTTTGTATAACAATTTATTTCTTTGCTTTATTACTGTCTAAGACACAAGTAGGCAGTCCCACTAAGAGGTGACCAACACCACTGGATACTAGCAAAGCGAGAATCACAGCCAGGCTGCTGTCTTCTATAAAATATGTACATACTCATTAAAAGTCACTTTAAATTCATGTATTGAATGAGAATTACCCCTAGAACTAGAATTTATTAAGGGGAGAAATAAACATTGGATTTTCAATTACTTTTTTCAAATTTTTTTAATTACTAGTTGAAAAGTTCTGAAAAGATTTGAGATTAAAGAGCTTTAAAGTTTTTTTCTTCTTTTTGTTGTTATAGTCCTATCATATATGATATTCGAATTACTTTATTTTTATTTACACGCATTAAAATTTATCAATAAAGCCTTAAGTTCACATTAAAATTAATCAATAAATTCTTACCCTGATATGGAAGGTCCAGTTGCATCAGGTTGCATGGGAAACCCGTCGATCAAAGGTAAAGTAGGTTCGGAAGGAACTTTTGGATCTCCATGACCTGGCCAACCCCATCCTGTTTATTTGATTTTAAAGTGATGTCATTAACTATCACTAAGTTCTGTTGACTTCGAGTTTTAAAGTGATTAGGAAAAAATGAGTTCATAAATTAGTCAGAGAATGAAGACGTCTTCACCTAAAGCCAGAGCATATATTCTATTCTATTGTTATTTCAATATTCAAATCCAGCTGGAACTTTTTTTAAATAAAATACATACTTTACACATTTTCAAAATTTACATCTCTGAGGAAGAACAGTGTTAAATGAATGTATTTTATAATTGAAACAATAGACCTCCAGTTTCAATGTCAATGGTGGAAATGATGTTGTGATATCTGTGGGCTTTGGTAACCACTTAAGACCAGAGCTTGTTCTCTCATGACTTAATTACACAATACAACTCCATAGGATAACACACATATGACATGTTCTGATTTCTATGGGCTGCTGTAACTATTTCACACCAGGTGGGCTGTGACCTCCTCCATATGGAATAAAATAAACAGTTGCCTAAGTCTATCATGAATTAAATTTATTGCAGTTTTACTACTACCCATCAATATTCTTTCGTATACCAATCATTAAGAATAAATCAAATGAGATATAATTAAAGATACTATTATTACAAACAGATGTTGCATGTGAATAATGTTTGCAATTTGCAAAACTATTGGCTTGTGACACTCCCACTTAGGTGTTAGGAAGTCGATATCGTTTGAATTAGGTATATCATGTGAATAGATTAGGTAGATGGGGATAGCATTTTGTTACTTGTATTTTAATTTTAAAACACTTGTTTTACATTTATAAATAATTTGTTACTTTGAAAATAAATATTAGTTCTATTAGTTGTTAAGTGTTTCAATTTTTAACAAGTCATTGACTGCAATTTCTTTATTAAAAATACCCCATTGATTCCATGAACCGCCCCAGGAATTCGTTGATGAGTTCCACTCTGCACCTGGAGGCAACTGTACATCGGTGTTGTTTTCGGTATTTTCCACCTCCATGGGGGCTTCTCCTTCCTCTACATCGAGTTTGGGTGGAGGTGGCGCCGGTGCCACTATGGCAGCAGCTTCTTTCATTGCTATCCATTGCTGAGCCAATGCCGCCCAGTCGACTTCACTGCAGTCCACATTTTGATAGGCCGTTGGATTCAAGGCCCACTGGGTGGGATATCCTGGATTTGCCGCATCCTTGTTGGAATACATTTTAGGTTGAATTATACTATGATTTAATAGTTTTTTGGGTGTTACATAGCTATTCAGTGTATTAAAATAGTAACAATAGCTTCATAGTTTGGTTAAATATGAAATTAACACAAAAACAGACGAACGAAAATGTAACATCTGAATTCACCAAGCACANAAGGCCCACTGGGTGGGATATCCTGGATTTGCCGCATCCTTGTTGGAATACATTTTAGGTTGAATTATACTATGATTTAATAGTTTTTTGGGTGTTACATAGCTATTCAGTGTATTAAAATAGTAACAATAGCTTCATAGTTTGGTTAAATATGAAATTAACACAAAAACAGACGAACGAAAATGTAACATCTGAATTCACCAAGCACAGCACATTTTCATTTTCCACTACTAATAGACAAAATAGCGTGTTTTTAACATATGGACATAGACACTCAATCTTGAATGCCGCTGATCTCTATGCTTTAATTGTCAATTCTTTTAGGCGAGTGACACTGACAACCTATGTCAATTGTACGGCCATTTGAAGGAACTGATTTCATTAAAACTATTTATCTACTGTGTTTATGTACAACTTCCTTGGATCGTTGAGGATCTCGAATAAATAAAACTAGATGTGTCTGTCTGTTAAGTTGCTTTCAAACCATATCAGATTGGGTGATGAATTTATCTCTGTAAAATTCCAAACATGTCTCATCTCATTTGTCTTTTCGAGTCGATTTGCCAATTATTTTAATAAAATATAACGAGAAGAATATTGGCTATTTTCAGTTCTTGTATATTAGTGGAACATTTTGTATAAAAAATCTAAATAAATATACTGTAGGATGGATTAAATTTGAAATTAGAACACTACTTTGGAGATGAATTTTATATAATATGGCTCCTTATATTTAATAAGGCATGGCATGGCATTTAAAATGAATGTATTGGTTTCATAACTGTTTTATTTATGGTTTTCTAAGTGAAAACTTTGGCAGCGTTGTAATCTGAAATTTGGTGATACGGAAAAGACCTCGTGTCATGTTGTCAATAAAAAAAGGTAAATGTATATCTGTAGGATATCTGTAAAATAATGAGTGGCTTAGGGAGCCAGTACACCGTCAATCTCGATCGTTATCCGTGATCAAAATTAATGATCGTGATTAAGATTGAACCGAATTGAACGTGTAAATTTAAATGAGTGTACAATTTTCTTTTGAGTAACCACTTTTTAACTATTTCGAGTCTTTTTCGGATCCTTTTCTTCAACGTTAAGGTCAAAACAAGGGACACTACTGCTCTAACTTTATATAAATCCATCACAACAGGTGTTAACACGGGTCACGGCAGCTACCATACGCGGACCGATGAAATCAAGATTGATTGTAATGTTGTGACCAGATCTTGTGATTCGAGATCGCGATCAAAGCTTAATGATCACGATCAATTGAGATGTGAATTCATGCTTTTTTAGATGATATGGCCAATTGTACAGGCAAAGGCAACAAGACCGTTCCACCTACGTATTTCACTTTAAAAATGGGAAATCATACCTACCTATTATAAAAAAGAGATATGGAGTGTAAATAAATGTTTTTTTGGTAGGTATTGACTATTATTCAATTTACTATTCGATTAAATTGAGTAAAATGATGTGGAATTAAATAAAATGAAACACATAACCTCTCAGATATATCTTAGAAATTTGTTGGCATGTTAAACACCTTTGGGAGGAATCTAGCAGTCATCACGTTCAGTTATTTTGTTTTTTTCTCCACTCTTGTGGACTAACATAAATACGAAACTGTTAGGTACTGAGTCATCATTACCAAAAAAGTCCAGATACATTAACTGAGCTCTGAGTTCCTGTTCTGTTCAACTAGGGCAGTAAAATCACTAATGAAGTGTTAAATATTTTATCGCATAGTGTTGGTTGCTTTAAATAGCATTGTTCGTCCAATGATCGAAATTCGACCATAATAACTGACGTTTCATTAAATCTAACTTTATGTCTAATATTTTCTTTTTTGGTAGTTAATACATACATTTGAATAAAAAAATCACTTCTATTTTTAATGATAACATTAAATTTGGTGCATAGTTATTAAAGAAAGATTAGACAAACAGAGGAAACGTATCATTTGTATATATTTATTTTGATATATTTAAACAGACTAGAGATCCCGCAGTAGTCGAAATTCGACTATAATTAATTGGAATTGTAAGTCTGTACACTATTATGATTGTATTTTATACTTCTATAATCACAAATTTCGCAAAGACTACACTAAAAAAAATATTAACAAAGACAAACAATATTTAATCTCAATTTGACAACAGACGTCAAGAACAAAAGTTTGACAGTAAATAGCATGCATGCGTGTGTGCGTCAAATACATGGTATGTAGTGTGTGTAATGTTTTCTTTATTGACTTAATGTATCTTTTACGCATTATTTTAAAAAAATATTAGCATTGTGCACTTCTTCTCTATATTCTCTATAAGTGTGGAAAATTTCATACTCCTCCGTCCGCGCAATTTTCGTAAAAAGGAATACAAAGTTTTTGCTTTACGTATTAATACATAGATTAATTTTACTATAGACATTTTTTGCTTGAATGCATGTTTGCTATTTTAAAAATACAGGCGTTCTTGTTTTGCCTGAATCGTCGCACAGGGCGTAATTAGAGTTAAAAGTAGGTAGTTTTGTTATTTAATCATCTAAAGCCATTAAAGGAAAATTTTTCGTCTAATTTGTACAGTTGTAACGGTGTAAGGTTGATTTGGCTTTAAAGTCCTTGGATTCCGGAGACCGCACATTCATGTATCTACTTGCAAGTCAAATGCTTATGAAATCGACGTTTACGAATGCTCCAATTGTTGAATTTGCAGTGTGGGTTAATTTTCATCTATATGTTTTTTGAATGTATTGTGTATTATTGTGTGTATTATTTTTGAAGCTGCATTAGTAGCTTTCAGAGTGGCTGCTACTCGATAGAACAAACTTTACAACAAATAACTCCAATTCGGTTTATCGACCCATTGCCGAGCAAGTCCGAAGCAATAGATTTTCTGGCATAATTTAGGTACAATGAAAATTTTTAGCAGCATAATTTCAGGGTAAATGCAGAGGTCGTTGGGGCCAGAAAGTTCTTGAGTGGCGACCGCGTACTGGAAGACGTAGCGTGGGTAGGCCTCCCACAAGATGGGCCGACGATCTATTGAGGTTCGCGGGGATCCACTGGATGCAGGCAGCGCAGGACCGGACTTTGTGGCGAGGCTTGGGGGAGGCCTATGTCAAGCAGTGGACGTCCATGGGCTGACAAGAAGAAGAAGCAGAGGTCAGATAGTTTTGAAGTAGGCATACATATCGGTACAGATAACAACGACGATCATTGTCTTCATATCGAAGAATTTATCGAGAAACTTGTAAAACAGTGTAGGTATATTTCGTTCAATTGTGAGGGATAGGAAAAAGGAAAATTATGAAAATCCGCGATGTTACTTCTAGCTGCGTGTTGTGAGCCTGTATGTCCATCTTATCGTCTATTTTTCTTTCTAATTTCGTCAGGTATCTACCTCTTAGGTTTAAATTATCTAGCTCTCTGGCTTGAAGATCCTATGAACCATTGTTAATTCTATGCATATTACAGGATAATCTTCCATCTTATATGACGACAAACTGTCTGAACCGTTATTTCGTCTGCCTTTAATATTATTGAAAAGCAACTCAAATTAAGCTGCTATGCGATCCCTCTCTTTTCTCTATCATCTACAATAACGTATTCTCCAAAATTCGTTGCCTTATGAGCTTTATGTTCTTACACATCTTCTATTACTGTATTTATATCCACCGAGCAGGAAGCCCTTTAAGGTTGGTACCACAGACCTTTCTATTTCTGCAACAGAGCAATTATGCATTTATGTTTTAACTCCGAGATAACTTTTATTCCTATGCAAATAATACTATATAATAATGTAATATTTCAAGGCAGACGGCGGCCTGCGTGTTTAATTGTAAATGAAAAATGCAAGTTATCTATCAATAGTAACCGCTTAGATGTTGGTGAAGTCATATCGATTATACGTATATAAGCTACTCAAAAACTCGATTTATTTTGTAGCCCGCTTAGGCAGATGAGCATACGGCCCACCTGATGGTTAGTGGTTACCGTCGCTCACGGACGTCAGCAATACCAGGGGCAGAGCCAAGCCGCTGCCTACCATTTAATACTCTTCACAGGCCTCGTTTGAAGACGGACATGTCATAGCGCTCTGGAAGCCCCGTGCAGGGGAGCTCACTCCAAAGCCGGATGGTACGTGGCAAAAAAGGGCGGGCTGTGTGATGGTAAAAACTAGATGATGGTATCATCTCGAATAATTCTTCAGAGCACTCCCCTTAGAGTATACGGCACAAAATAAAGAGGGAACCGAAGTCCCTTCACAGAACCAGAGGTTCAAAACGATCCGTGAGAATGGGATTATTGACAATTGTGTCAAGGTATCACGACGATATTCGCATTTAGCAAAATATTAATAATAGACGGTGCGGTGTATTGTGAATTCGTACAGGTGGTGCCATCGTCTTATCTATTTCAAATACTACGTGTGAAATTCACTTATTGATGTCTCGACTCTCCTTGTCTATTCTATTCAAAAAATGCCTGGAAACTGTATTTTTTGTCTTATTTGGTGGACTAAATCTCTGGTAAGGTAACCAAAAAATAAAAAATAAAAGTGATCATGATGGAAAATAATTATAATATTGCATGTTCTAATTTAATTCTAAATTGTTTCGTTATGAAGTAGGCTCTAAATTATCAAATTATAATCTACTAGGTGTAATGTGTGTTGCAAATGTAGATCACTTTTGAAACATTGCTTTCGACATATTTAATCATATAGTATGCCGTTAGTAAGTGTAACTATCTAGTGAACACACAAGTTTGACTATGATAAATAGAACGAGGTAAAATAAATAACTACTAGAAGCTTTTAAAACTTTAAATTCATTTATTATTTTATTATTCACACACAATTCCAACGACTCTTTCATTCGTCATCTTTACTCTTCAGACCATTTGCTCAACAAACAACAACTTATCTACTTAAATTTACAATAAGACAATGAACTACTTTCGTCATTTCCATGACGACGCATGTCACACCTCACTCTTAAACTGGAACTCATCAGTTACACAACACAAGTCTTTTATATGCTTACACTAACTTTAACTTAACGCAAGTAGAGGTTCTTCCGCATCCTGTTTTGGACTGAGTTTCGAGTTCTTCTTCCATTGCTCCTTTTTGTTGATCATCTTTCGTTTGGTCATTTCCAATTTTGTTTTTACTTTTGACATTTTCGGCATAATCGCCGGTTCGTCTAGTCGTTCTAAAGTTTCAATAATGTTCTTTGGTTCAGACATGATTCTCCTGGTTTCCTCACTGATTTCATCCGCTGTTGAATTTTTATTAGCATAAACGACAACGTAATGTGAGTAGGCAGAATTAGCTGGTGAATTGATGTCGGCAAAATCTCTGAAGTTAGCGAATTGGTCTTGATTGTAATTAGGTCTCGGATTGGCGATGTAATTGACGTCGAACGAAGGCCTTCCGTGACCATTGTTGTAGTAATTGAAACTGTCACTATAATCATCTTCGTCGTTTTGAGCGAAAAATGTTCCGCCTCTGATGATACCGAAATTGCCTGAGCCGAGCACACTGGATGTTGTATCAACAAGGGGTGCAGCAGGTGTGTTGATTGGCGAGCTCGCTTTACCAAAGTTTTCTAGATTCCTATAACCACCAAAAATGGGATAATTAAGTAGTGATTTATATGAATTCGGTCGTTGGCTGTAGGCCCCTTCCTGATTATTTCCAAAATCAAGTCTGTAATTGTTTTGTTGTCGTGGCTCAAACAAGTTTGCGAATGTTGGGAAGAAGGTTTGAGATCTCCCGACTAGTTCAACAGAATGGTCTGTATGGTCATCTGTTGCGGCTGCGTCGGGTTCTACGTGCATGCCAGGCGGCGGCGGCACCACTTCTGATGTGATTTCTGATGACTCTGCAGTGAGGTCTCTCGTGTCATCTGAAACGAACAAATAGTTGAAGTAAGTACAATAGGTATATCTTTTTAGTACAAATAAAAAGGGAAACATCTGTTGTGCCATATTTAAAAAAAATGTTTTTTTTACGAAATATTGTGATATACTTAGTCTGGCCATAAATACTGTTACAATTAAAAATAAAAAAAATTACATATATTGCAAATAACATTTATTACTTTTACAGTATGTTAGTTTAACACATAAATATAAAACAATTTAAAGTATAAAAAGCTTATTCGAAGTGGTCTCCATTGGCTGCAATACGTCCTTTAAACGTTGAGACCAGTTATCAATAGAAGCACGCACTCTTTCCATGAAAAAATTTTTCACTGCCAATCATACGGATTGTTTTAGGGACTCCAAATTATCATGGCGTTTAGAGCAAGCCGTACTCTCTAAAACTGACCATTAATCATAATCCAGCGGATTAAGATCGGGACTAGACGACGGCCAGTCTTCAGCTCTGATGAAGTCCGAAACGTTCGTTTCCAACCAAGACTGCGTAGACCGAGCTTTATGACCTGGCGCCGAGTCTTGCTGGAAGGACCATTCTTGATTATTGAACATGGTGTTGTTAAGGGGCTTCACTACCTTCTCAAGAATGGTATCTTGATACACTTGTGCCGATGTTTTGATACCTTTTTCACAAAAGTATGGCTCAGTCACTCCTTCATAGCTAATACCCCACCAAACCATCACTGAAGTCGGATAGTGCCCACGTTGCACTCTGTCGACTAATTGGGAAGCTTCCTTAGAGCCGTACTCTCTAAAACTGACCATAAATCATAATCCAGTGGATTAAGATCGGGACTAGACGACGGCCAGTCTTCAGATCAGATGAAGTCCGAAACGTTCGTTTCCAACCAAGACTGCGTAGACCGAGCTTTATGACCTGGCGCCGAGTCTTGCTGGAAGGACTATTCTGATTATTGAACACGGTGTTGTTACGGGGCTTCACTACCTTCTCAGAATGGTATCTTGATACACTTGTGCCGATGTTTTGATACCTTTTTCACAAAAGTATGGCTCAGTCACTCCTTCATAGCTAATACCCCACCAAACCATCACTAAAGTCGGATAGTGCCCACGTTGCACTCTGTCGATTAATTGGGAAGCTTCCTTAGAGCTTTGAGCATAAATACGGTCATTATGTTTGTTAAAATGTTGCTCAATTGTAAAAATTTCTCATCCGTAAACAAAATTTTTAATTAGAAAACTCAATGAGCAATCATATAAAAACGACCGATTCCAAATTCAAATGTAATATTTTGTTTATTTTTAATTGTAACAGTAATAATGGCCAGACTAAGTATATAGTACTTTTCAGCTTCACTGTGAGCGAAGGGCTCAAGCAGGAGCAAAAGGCTTGATAACAGCTGCTCTAGAATACTCGGAGGAGGCCTAACAGCTCAAGGGCAGCTGCTTCTCCAGTGCATCTGCCACTTCGGCTGAAAAGTCCGGCGAGAAACTCAGCGAGCTGATTCTATAGGTTAAGTTTCACATCCAACTCTTCAGCGAGTTCGAAGAATACGGTGTCCAATTCTTTTTATGCTGCTATCAGAGAGTAGATACTTTTACTGCTTTCAGACGCTACTGATACATATAATACAGGTGGATGCGTTAGGATATAAAGGTATACTGATGTTGATGACTTTCTATCATCAACAAAAAAAAGTAACATTATGATTTGGCGACAAAATCTGTTAATGAATAAATCTCATTCAAATTATAATAACAAGGTGTGTGTCACAGAATGTTTAACATAGAGTGTAATGGTGCTACTACATTATATTTTTTATTAACGTCATTAAGTGACGTGTTCTTACATGTCATTTATATTAAATTGACTACCGCATATACTCGTCTAATACTTTTCCTGCTCGAATAAATGAATATTTAATATTAAATAAGTTTATTGTAATAATACATTATGAGTTGCTGTCAACGCTTGTCCTTTGTTTCGCCCTGTATCTAAAATGTATATAAGATAATCTTAAAATTGTATGTTTATTTTCTGTACGGTAGCGGAGCCACGTTCCAATGTCGAAATTTCTATAACTGGAAAATTTATTTAAGTTAATAAATAGTGATTTGATTGATTTATTGCAACATCGGTCAAATGTTTTTTTATAAAATTATTAAATCATTGAAACGGCTAAGGAAAAGCGGTGTTAATTAATTTTTGTCTACCTGTTCGTTGGTAGCTTACGGAGCTATTCCAGCTACGCGCGAAAGGGTAGGTGGCTTGCGGGCTTAATCTGTGAGAATTTGCTAACACCAGCCCTAGCAAGAGCAGTGCTTCGCAGAATATACCACCGAATCGTAATCGCGATCATCTGAGAAGATCCGGTTATGTCTATGGTTTAGTTCGCTCCTCGAACTCTTTGTCTTAATTAACGAGTTCGACGAGGAAGGTAATCAGCGCTTGAAGAGCCTAAAAGCACCGAGAGTGGATCCAGGGGAAAAGTTAAATACGCGAGAAGCATTATAAAATGCCTTTAAATAGTTTGCTGACTCCCCCGTACACCTGACTTCTTCGAGAAGGGCATTGAAAAACTACCTCTGCGCTGGTAAAGATACACCGATACCATGGATGCATATTTTGATTAATAGTTTTTTTTTTATAAAAAACAGTGACTAGCTTTCGTTATACCGAATGGCGTTCGTGGGTAAAGACCTAATTAATATAAGGCTCTAACTGTTCTTAAATGATATTTGTATTTTATTATCATACCATCACAACATCGTATAAAAGATAATTGAAAAATTTCCGAGCGAGGAAAGTTATATACGAGAAAATTTATAATATTCTTGAATTTAACTTTGTACTTAGCAAATAGGAAGCTTAAGGAGGTCCATTGGTTCTTAATTTTAGATGAGTAGTATTTCGAGGTGTAAGTTATTGTAGCCTTTAAGAATCACATGGTGATGGTGTGCTTTTGCTGGTTCATAATATTTATTACTGCCGCCTGTACAATTTTCCATGTGTTCTGTATAACTTTAAGTGAGTAAGTGATAACTTTGCAAAGTCGAAAATGTGTTGTTTTGTTATGATTAATTGCAAAATTGGGTCAACACAATTTCAAAATATCCCGCACGTTACAAATTTCATTTAAATATCAATGAAAATTATTAGTTTTCTGCTGACCCATGACCTGTTGCCGTGGCTGCTCTAAAATCGTTAAATTTTGGTGAAAACTATTAAGAAATACTTGCAAAACCAATGAGGAGGAAATTTGGGTTAACGTTCCATGTTAGCAATCCACAGTCTCTTATTGTGTTCACAAAGGCTGATGCACAAAAGCATAACATTTTCTTCGAATTATAATTCACTTATTGTAATAGCCAAAATCTTAGCTTTTAAAATATATATGGAATAATACAGCTTGCTCTTGATGCTATATCGTTTTGGATATTTCAAACGTATTAAGTTATATTTAATACATAAACTTTTACTAATTTCATTACACTGATTTCAGTTTGATTATTATTTTCAATCACGAATTAAATATATTTTTTATACTCTGATTTTTTCTCTCTTAAATACGTCATTGGTAATATTTCAATTTTTATTATCAAAAATTCAGTTGGCGACCTGTGATTATTACCACATTAACGACTTAATCTATTTTCGTAACACAAAAAATATTATAACATAAGTATGACAAAGCGCTATTTATCTTTACTTATTTAGCTGTTTAAACAAAGACCGTTTTTTAAGCATAGCGAAAGCTAACGTTGAAATAAACTAGTGGTTTGACCTCGTTGTGATAAACCAAGTTTAGATACAATAAAGATGAACGATTAGTTTGTTACGCGATTGCTTAAATTTAAATCCTATATGTGAACTGCATAACTAATTTAAAAAAGTGCTAGTTTTTTCTATATGTTTTATTTCAACACACAATGCTAAAATAGTTCTAGGATCAAATTTATTATTACCGAATGAAGCTGGCAACATTTCCTTTATACTTGATTTTGATTTATCTGTTTCTTGCTTTTGGTTCGTGGTCATGTTATTTTATTAGTATTGTGGTCAATTGTATAAAGTATGTACTGGCGGTAAAACTGCAACTAAAACAAATATATAAAAATAAAACAGCCTTAAAAAAATTTGTTAGGCGTTATGAGTATGAGTAGTACCATAATTTACGAGAATGTCCATCTCAATGGTCGTGTTGTGCGTAAACAATCACTGATTTCACAACATGAACTCAATAGCTCTGAGATAGTTGATGATTCGCCATCTTTCTGTCGTTACGCACTGGGACTATTACGGAGAATTAAATAACAGTTGCAACATTGATGATGGTCTGAATGAGGGTATATGTGATCTTGATTTTATATATCAGTTCTTTTTGTGAATCTCAATATAATGGTAATGTACTTTTACCAGAACGCATTGACATGAATCTTGATTCTATTAAAATTTGAAAGGAAGGCAATTAATAAACGTCTTTTAAAATCGTATTATATTTGGTAAAAATAACCATTAAACTAATAATATCCAGCCTGGTCTGTTAATTTACGGTAATGTGAAGAGGTGGCGTCTAAAAGAACTTGGATGGACTGTTCTTTTTTTATTGCTCTTTTGGGCAGACGCTCATACGACCCACATGACGCTTAGTGGTTACCGTCGCTTATGGACGTCAGCAATCCCAGGGTCAGAGACAAGTCGCTGCTTACCTGTGTGAAGGAGGAAATGCGAGAGAAGGGTGTCACTGTATAGATGACGTATGGTATATGGCTCTATGGTCTGAATGAAAAAAGAAAACATGCTACACCGATCCTACATAGTAGGATACGGTCAAGATGAAGAAGATCCAAATTGACTGTTAATTGCTTTCTAAGCAGTCAGTTTTGTCATTTAAACTAAGCTGATGGTCTAGAGAGACCAAGTCAGTGTCACCGGTCTAGGTTTTGTCATGACGCGTATTTTGAGGAGGTTTATAGCTTTGGAGGCCTAAGCTCTAGTGGCTTA